GTAATCGTACTCGGCGACCGGAACGTGAGACGGTAGTCTTGTTCGTGCTTCGTGAGCCTGCGATCTCATCCGAGGTCAAGGGCGGCGTGGTCTGCCGATCTGGAAGTGAGACGGAAGTCTCGTCCGTAGATGGTGCAGATGACGCGTGCTGTTGACCGGGACGTGAGAACGAGGTCTCTGATGTATCTAGCGTGGGATCCGAGGTAGACGTAGAGATCCCGCTAGAAGGTTTGATAGGTCTAGCATTGAGTCTCAAGTTATCGGGTAGGGCACTGTCATCGACGTGTGCTGGTTTGAGACGATCAATGCTGACGATCTCGACGCGGCCGTGTCGATCAACCTTGAAGGTCTTTTCGTGACGAGAGATCACGTGAAAAGGGCCTTCGTAAGGCTGTTGCAAAGGTCTGCGTACCGAATCTACTCGTACGAAGACATGTGAACAGGTAGATAACTCTCGAGGGAGAGCGACCTGTCGATGTTGTATTCGAGTTGACACCGGAGACAGCGTTCGCATAAATGCAGACAGTCGATGGACGTAGTCTGATTTACCGAAATCATTACTGCTCCGTGGTGTGAAGAATTCCCCAGGCAGACGCAATGTCGTGCCGTATACAAGTTCAGCGGCGGAACATTGAATATCTGCCTTCAAACTCGTTCTGATGCCTAAGAGAACGAGCGGTAAGGTTTCGTACCAATTGTCGTTTTCGTGTGCTCGGAGAGCACTTTTAAGTTGGCGATGAAACCTTTCGACTAAACCATTCGATGCTGGATGGTAGGCGGTAGTGCGTATGCGTTCCGTACCAAGCAGCCTGGTCAGTGAGGAGAACAGTGCGGACTCGAATTGTTGTCCTCGGTCAGTCGTGACAGTCGAGGGACAACCGTACAATGCTATCCATCGTTCTACGAAGCGGTGAGCAACTGTCTCCGCCGTGATAGACGTGATGGGAATAGCTTCGGGCCATCTTGTAAAACGGTCAATGCACGTGAGTATGTGATCATACCCATGCGATGGTGGCAAGGGTCCTACAATGTCTATATGAACGTGATCAAAGCGAGCATCAGGCATAGAGAACGTGCCAATGGGGGCAGCTACGTGCCTGTGCACTTTTGATCGTTGACACTGTAGGCATTGCTTTACCCACATACGAACATCTTTATTCATGGACGGCCAGACGTATCGTGCAGCGATGAGACGTAATGTGGCTGCGATACCTGGATGAGACAATCCATGAAGGGCATCAAAGACGAGACGGCGATAGGTAGAGGGTACGATGGGTCGAGGAAGACCGGTAGAAATATCACATAGGATAATACCTGAGCTAGTAGCTAGGGGTACTTCCTGACACTGAAGGGACGAAGATTGTGGTACTTCTGTACAGACAGGATCGTTTGCTTGCGCGGCGGCCATGGCAGGAAGATCGAGCACCGGTAACGTAGCTGCATTCGTCTGGATACGTGATAGAGCATCGGCAACATAGTTCGACTCGCCTTTAATGTGACGAAGGTCTGTCGTGAACTGTGAGATATAGTCCAAATGTCTGTACTCTCGTGGTGAGTAGCGGTCAGACTTGGTATGCAGGGCATACGTTAAGGGCTTATGGTCGGTGAATAAAATGAATTGGCGTCCTTCTACTGCGTGCCGGAAATGTTTGATGGCGCAGTAGGCTGCAAGCAGCTCGCGACCAAAAGCGCTATATCTCGTCTCCGTGGGAGTAAGGCGTCGTGAGAAAAATTCGAGCGGTTGCCAACTACCGGAGATATTCTTTTGCATAACGGCTCCTATGGCAAAATCCGATGCATCAACCGCTATACTAAGCGTGGCTGATGGGTCAGGATGAGCGAGAAGCGTAGCTTGAGTGAGAGCCGTTTTGATCTCTGAGAATGCAGTACGTGCGGTATCGTTCAATTCTAATTTGCGTGGATTACCGCGTAGTAAATCGGTTAATGGTCGTAACCGTTCTGCCGCGTGGGGGATAAAACGTCGGTAGAAGTTAACCAAACCGAGAAAAGCCTTCAGTTCCTTGAGTGAGGACGGCACGTTGTACTCCTTGATTACTCGAACTTTGTCCTCGCAAGGCAGAATACCCTCTTGTCTGATGATATGACCCAGAAATATTATTTCTGATTTACCCAATTCACATTTTT